ATATATATATATATATGTATGTAGTGAACTAGACCTCCGACATCAATCTGTCTCTGAAGACCTTCAGGGGACAGGGACTGTTGTTTCATTGATTTGAATCCAGAAATACACTTACGAAGTAAGTAATCTTCTGTCTGAGTGAGGAGTTGATTTGATGTCGGTCAAAAGGCAGAACAATTTATGAGAATGAAGTGCCTTGTTTTTAAAACCCTCAGACATTAAATGAGAAACTGGCACCTACAAAGTCTGTCACTTCTTCAAAATATTTTCCTGTCTGTACTAACAGTTCTTAAAAACATTTCTGCTGTCTGTTGACTTCTAATAACCCTCTGACATCACTAAAACACCACCCCTGCTGGTTGTGCTAACCAACCAGGAGTGACAGGAAGTGGATACCCTTTAAAAGTCAACACTTCTTGGAACTTTCAGCCTTACTGGATAACTCAGTCTTACTGGAGTCTTCCTGGAACTTTTAAGTCTTTTAAGTCTTACTGGAAGACTCAGTCTTACGGCGAGCTGACGGAATGGGACCATGTGCCAAGGGTCCGTCCATTTCAGCGGAGTCACAGCCTGCCTCGCTGTGAACTCACCCGGGCGTAACGCCCTACAACTTCTAATGAAGATTCCTTCTAAGGAAGCTTATTCTGTTGAACGGAGTACTTCGTCACGACATCTGACGATCCCCAGCCACTCTGACCGGAGACGCTGAAAAGGGAGTGTGAGATGGACCTCTGTACCGGAGCTGATTTATCTTCTGCAAAGGTAACAAGTCGTTCACGCCCTGAGTGTACCGAGGGCTGAGCTGGGGTCGGAGGAAGGGTGCCATTTCTGGTCAACACATCTTCCTTCATCCATCTAAATCTCCTCTTTAAACTTCTTTACTCCTTCTCTTTAAACTTCTATTCTCCAGTAAATCAAGCTAGATGCCTTCAGAGATGAATTATTCTCAATCAGTAATCATCTGTTGTCTTGTTATTTGAACTTGCTAAGTTTATTAATCAGAAACAGATCAGCCAATCAATGTGTATATGTTTGATGTTGAATTTTGATTCCGTTAAATAAATGACCGCATTTATTCTGATGGGTCAAAGATAAAATGGCGTCTCACGTCACTAATTATTACTCACATGGCAGAAATTTAACTCGAAAAAGAAAGAATCTGTTGTTAATTAAACAATTAATATTCTTTGTGCTTGAACTAGCTTTAAGAATAATTAATTAGTAGTGTGTCCACAGCAAAGCTGTCCCGACATCACTACAGATAGATAGATAACAAATGCAGAGAAAATGACTAAATTTAAACTACTCAACTATAAAAGCTTAGAAAAAATTATAAATCAATTAAGCTCCTCCTCCTGCTGTCTTGATATCCTACCCACAACTTTCCTTAAGAAAGTTCTGCCCGTCATTGTATCTGATCTGATTCAAATAGTAAACTCATCCCTCTCATCAGGTTTTTTCCCCCAGGCTTTTAAAACAGCAGTTATCAAACCACTGATAAAAAAGAACTGTCTGGACAAATCACTACTGCAGAATTATAGGCCAATTTCTAACCTTCCATTCATCAGCAAAATTATTGAAAAAGCTGTTTCAACAGATAAATAGCTTCCTATCGATGACCAACCACTTTGACATCTTTCAGTCTGGTTTCTGTGCTCACCACAGTACTGAGACTGCCCTTGTCAAAGTGTTCATTGACATTCACATAAATACAGACTGTGGAAGAACCACAGTGCTGGTTCTGTTGGACCTCAGTGTAGCATTTGACACTGATGACCATGACATATTATTGAAACGACTGGAGAGTTGGGTAGGACTCTGCGGCCCACTACTCAGTTGGTTCAAATCTTACACAAAGAACAGGGATTTTTTTGTCTCAATAGGTAACTTCTCATCGAAGCGAACAGAAGTCACAAACGGGGTACCCCAAAGTTCAATCCTGGGACCACTGTTATTCAATATCTATATGATCCCATTAGCTCAACTTATAACAGGAAATAAGATTAGTTACCATAACTACGCAGATGATACACAGCTCTACATTACGATGTCACCAGGTGACTCTGAACCCATCCAAACACTGAACAGATGCTTAGAACAAATCAATGTGTGGATGTGCCATAACTTTCTCCAGCTGAACAAAAACAAAACTGAAGTACCGAGTAATTATCTTTGGACCTAAAGAGGAACGATCAAGAATCAGCACACAGCTTCAGTTATTATAGCTAGAAACTAGTGATCAGGCCCGAAATCTGGGGGTGGTGATGGACGCAGACCTGAACCTTCAGAGCCATATAAAGACAGTTACAAAGTCGGCCTTCAATCACCTGAAGAACATTTCCAGGATTAAAGAACTAATGTGACAGCAAGATCTAGAGAAACTCTTCCACGCGTTTATCTTTAGTCGCATTGACTGCAGCAGTGTCTTCACGTCTGCCTAAAAAAATCGGTCAGACAGCTGCAACTCATCCAGACCACTGCTGGTCGCATTCTCACTAAAACCAGGAAGATAGAGCACATCATCCCAGTTTTAAAATCCCTACACTGGCTCCCTGTAGCTCAGAGAATAGACTTTAAAATACTGTTATTAGTTTATAAATCACTGAATGGCTTAGCACCACAATACATTAAAGATCTGCTGTTGTTGTATTAACCTTCCAGATCACTTAGGTCTTCTGGTTCTGGTCTGCTCTGCATCCCCAGAACCAGAACCAAACATGGAGAAGCAGCATTCAGCTTCTATGCACCACAAATCTGGAACAAATTTCCAGACAACTGCAAAACATTGAGGGGTTCCTTGAGAGGGGTTGGACACTCTTCCACTCTGGAGTTGCCCCTGATGAGAGGTGCCGAGCAGGAGTGGGCATACTTGTTGCCCCTCATCTTGGTGCTTGTACATTGGGGTTCACCCTGGTGAACGAGAGGGTAACCTCCCTCCGCCTACGTGTGGGGGGACGGGTTCTGGCTGTTGTTTGTGCTTATGCGCCAAACAGCAGCTCAGATTACCTACCCTTTTTGGAGTCCTTGGAGGGGGGTCCTGGAGAGTGCACCTCCTAGGGACTCTCTTGTTCTACTGGGGGACTTCAACGCTCACATGGGCAATGACAGTGAGACCTGGAGGGGTGTGGTTGGGAGGAAAGGCCCCCCTGATCTGAACCCAAGTGGTGTTCTGTTATTGGACTTCTGTGCCCGTCATGGATTGTCCATAACGAACACCATGTTCAGGCATAAGGGTGTCCATATGTGCTCTTGGCACCAGGATACCCTAGGCCGCAGTTCGATGATTGACTTTGTTGTCATCTCATATGATCTGCAGATGCATGTCTTGGACACTCGAGTGAAGAGAAGGGCAGGGCTGTACACTGACCACTACCTGGTGGTCTCCGGGAGAGAGCTTCAAACATGTTCCAGGGGAGGTAGGGGACATTGAGTCCGAGTGGGCCGTGTTCCGCGGAACATGGCCCTCTATTGTTGAAGTGGCTTATTGGAGCTGTGGCTGCAAGGTTGTCGTGCCTGTCGCGGCGGTAACGCTCGAACCCGGTGGTGGACACCGGCGGTGAGGGATGCTGTCAGGCTGAAGAAAGAGTCCTATTGGGCATTTTTGGCCTGTGGGACCCCGGAAGTAGATGATGGGTACTGGCAGTCCAAGCGGCCTGTGGCTCAGGTGGTCGCTGAGGCAAAAACTCAAGCGTGGGAGGAGTTCGGAGAGGCCATGGAGAATGACTTCCATATGGCTTCGAGGTGATTCTGGTCCACCATCAGGCGTCTCAGGGGGGGAAAGCGGTACACCACTAACACTATTTATAGTGGAGGTAGTGTGCTGCTGACCTCAACTTGGGATGTCGTGGGTCAGTGGGCAGAATACTTTGAAGACCTCTTCAATCCCACTGGCATGACTTCCACTGAGGAAGCAGAGCCTGGGGACTTTGGGTCGGGCTCCACAATCTCTGGTGCTGAGGTCACCAAGGTGGTTAAAAAGCTCCTTGGTAGCAGGGCCCCAGGTGTGGATGAGATTCGCCTGGAGTTCCTTAAGGCTCTGGATGTTGTGGGGTTGTGTTGGCTTACATGACTCTGCAATATTGCGTGGACATCGGGGGCAGTTCCCCTGGATTGGCAGACTGGGGTGGTGGTCCCCCTATTCAAAAAGGGCGACCGTAGAGTGTGTTCCAACTACAGGGGGATCACGCTTTTAAGCCTCCCTGGTCAGGTCTATTCGGGGATTCTGGAGAGGAGGGTCCGTCGGATAGTCGAACCTCTGATTCAGGAGGAGCAGTGCGGTTTTTGTCCTGGTCGTGGAACACTGGACCAGCTCTACACCCTCAGCAGGGCCCTGGAGGGTATGTGGGAGTTTGCCCAGCCAGTCTACATGTGCTTTATGGACTTGGAGAAGGCGTTCGGCCACGTCCCTCGGGGGACCCTGTGGGGGTTACTCTGGGAGTATGGGGTACCAGGCCCTTTTATACAGGCTGTTAGGTCCCTGTACGACCGGTGTCAGAGCTTGATTCGCATTGTCAGCAGTAAGTCAGGCTCATTCCCAGTGAGAGTTGGACTCTGCCAAGGTTGCCCTTTGTCACCGATTCTGTTCATAACTTTTGTGAACAGAATTTCTAGGTGCAGCCAAGGTGTTGAGGGGTTCTGTTTTGGTGGCTTTAGGATTGCTTCTCTGTTTTTTGCAAATGATGTGGTCTTGCTGGCTTCATCCGGTCGTGCTCTACAGCTTTTGCCGGAGCGGTTTGCAGCCAAGTGTGATACGGCTGGGATGAGGATCAGTTCCTCCAAATCCGAGGCCATGGTCTTGAGCCGGAAAAGGGTAGAATGCCCTCTCTGGATCGGCGAGGAGGTCCTGCCCCAAGTGGAGGAGTTTAAGTATCTCAAAGTCTTGTTCACGAATGAGGGACAAATGGAGCGTGAGATCGATAGGCAGATAGGTGCAGCGTCTGCAGTGAAGCGGGTGCTGTATCGGTCTGTCGTGGTGAAGAGAGAGCTGAGTCAAAAGGCGAAGCTCTCAATTTACTGGTCAATCTATGTTCCTACCCTTATCTATGGTCATGAGCTTTGGGTTGTGACCGAAAAAACGAGATCACGGATACAGGCGGCCAAAATGAGTTTTCTACGCAGGGTGTCTGGGCTCTCCCTTAGAGATAGGATGAGAAGCTCGGTCATCCGGGAGGGACTCAGAGTAGAGCCGTTGCTTCTCCACATTGAGAAGAACCAATTGAGGTGGGTTGGGCATCTCGTTAGGATGCCTCCTGGACGCCTTCCTGTTGAGGTGTTCCGGGCACGTCCCAGCGGGAGGAGACCCAGAGGAAGACCCAGGACACGCTTGAGGGACTATGTTTTTCGGCTGGCCTGGAAACACCTTGGGATTTCCCCGGAGGAGCGGGCCCAAGTGGCTGGGGAGAGGGAAGTCTGGGCCTCCCTACTTAGGCTGCTACCCCTGCGACCCGACGGAAGAGAATGGATGGATGGATGGATGGATGCAAAATAGCTGAAACACTGAGTTCCTTTAAATAAAGGATAAAACCCCACCTGTTTAGAGTTTCTGTTGAACTATAATAAATGGAACATTGATCAACATATTTGATGGCACTCGACAAAATGTAATGTTTGTTACTAGTTTCTCAATTGGTGACTGTATGTTGTTGTTATGACTTTTAATTTTGTATTTTTATGATAAATGGACTGCACTTATATAGCGCTTTTTTATCAGATCAAGACACTCAAAGCGTTTTACACCAATCTGTTCCCTCATTTACCCATTCATACAGCACTCTACTATTTCTGTACAAAGACTAATCAGTGCTTTAGATCACATTCATACACCGATGGGACACACATCGGAGGCATTTAGGGGTTCAGTGTCTTGCCCAGGGACACTTCAGCATGTGACTGCTGGTGGAATCAAACCCCCCAGCTCTTGCATTGGAGGACAACTGCTCTAACCACTTAGCCACAGCCGCCCCCAACAGCAACAGCTCTATCGAGATATTAATTTTGGTCCATAGCGCACAGCCCTAGCTCTGTGTGTTACTGTTTGTGTTTGTTGCTCAGTGTGTATGTTACTGTTTGTGGTTATTGCTCACAGTGTGTGTGTTACTGTTTGTGTTTGTTGCTCACAATGTGTGTCATGTTCTGTTGTCTCAGGAGCATCAAGCTTTGGGATCTGGAAAAGTTCACAATGATCGGCACATTGGAAGGAGACACATCTGCAGTCAGGTAAGGTTTGTTCACGTGGTCCCAAGTGACATTTAACCTTTGACTTCTAAATTCTGACCAACCCTTGTCCTGTCAGGTGTCTCCTCTTCAGCCCAGACGGCTCCTGCATCTTCAGCGGTGCCTCAGACTCTCTGCGGGTGTTTGGCTGGGAGCCCGACCGTTGTTTTGACATGGTTCCAGTCGGTTGGAGGAAAGTGTCAGACCTGGCTGTCTGTAACCAGCAGCTGGTGTGTAGCTCCGCTTCCTGTCGAGTTTACCTGTTGAGGTGTTTGACATCGCTGCAGTAAACTCCTCCTTCTGTTCTCGTCAGATCGGCGTGTCTCACCAGCTGTCCAATGTCTCATCGTACGTAGTCGACTTGAAAAAGGTGAAGACGAGCGTTGGCGCTGTGATCCAGGGAATAATCCAGGACGACAAGCCTCTCACTGAGCCGATGGAGCCCAGGGCGGCAGCATTTCGTCGCAGCTATGATAGACCCATAACCTCCTGCACCTCACACAGGTTTCAACTGTTTCACTTCTCAGTCCCACCAGGAAGTTGCAGTGCTGCGATCACAATTATTAACGCAAATTAAACCAATCTCAGCAAATTTGGCTCAGAGTTGCAATTTTGACCCATTGCTGCAACTTTCCTACAAATTTGACCAATTTCACTTTCTGGAACTTGAGCAAAGCTCAGCCAAGGTGAAAACTTGTCCAGCACCGTTAACAGACGTTTACTGCCAGATTTACTTGATAAAATCTGTGTAACTTCATGTATTGATGCATCCAAAAAAGTTCAATCTGGTCCTCTGGACATTCAAAAAAACAAAAAACAAAACAAAGCAAAAAAATCTAGAAACGTTTCGTCTCTCATCCAAGAGACTTCCTCAGTCTGAGGTGCTGTTTTCAGCTCAGTCTCTTAAATAGCACCTTCTCAGAGTGGATCAACCAGTTTGCTGCTGACAACCAAAACCAGCTGATCACATGCTCAAGAAGGACCATCAGCCTAACAATGGATCATTAGCACACTGATGGCTGTTTACTATTCACAGAGGGCTGAGTGATACTAGCAATCACAGCATTGTAAGAGGGGGACAGTTGAACCCGGAGGCCTCCACCCCTGTTTAATAATGGACGATTTCTTTTCACAAAGATGGCCTCCTTTACTCCTCCCTCAAACCATTGTTCCTCTCTGTCCAGGATGTGAACATCTTCATCCTTGAAAGAGTGACCGCTGGCCTGGAGATGAGTGTAGACCGCAGAATCCTGGCCTGATGATGTTGATCTTCTGTGCTGGGCCATCCTTTTGGCCAGTGGCTGTTT